GGACCCTCGCTAGCTGTTTACATACACAATACAGTATCTCATAACTTTAACCAATTAATTTTACTTTTGAATCGTCGTGTCCAGATGCAGTGAGACAATATCTGCAGCCACACCAAGGGCGTCAGTTTGTTTTCAGAATTGCTGGGGACAATAACCATACACTTGAGTGGGGTTTAAAAATTGCTGGGGACAATAAAGTAGGCTAGCACAGTGGTCGGCACCCCGCGGCTCTGGAGCCGCATGCGGCTCTTCCATCTGATGCGGCTCTGTGCTTGTAAAATAATGAATGGCTATTTAAATAAAAAGCTTTATATTTTATTGCATTAATTTGACATCTGTATGCCAATTCTAAATGTAAAGATTGTCTGCGTAAACCTGAACAGTTCCAACCCGGTCTTACTGTTAGACCGGGTTGACGCGTCATGCGTCAGTACAGAACCACGGTGCATGCGGTAAGATTTCCTCCCACTGAAGCGGTCTGGAAACCCGGTCTCTCTGAGGGATGTGTCTCTTGGAAAAATGTTCTTTTTATGAAATTATGAAACTTTGGCTGAACAGCGCTTGTTCCCGTCTCTAATATGGAGACGCATGACGCATCCAGTCTGAGGCAGAATTGCCTCTTCAGCTCAGAAAGTACCTGTAGAGACATTTGATCACGCACAAAGTTTATGTGGAGCAGAAGCGGTCGGGCCACGGCAGGTGAAATGTTCCTAGCCTACATGAAGTGAAACTGTTTAATTGTAACATTAATATGTTACTGGACACGCTGGTCTGGTTGGTTAGACCAGTATTTGATGTGGAAAACACACACACACACACACACACACACACACACACACACACACACACACACACACACACACACACACACCAATTAAAACAATGCTGATAGCGTGGACTAGAAGACAGGTGATGGTTTACGTATTTAAATGATGATCAGGCTGCTGTAAAATGTAATCTCCATCCACATCCAGACAGAATTATCCTCTATTCTTTCTCTATTTGCTCTGCTCTTGTCTGGGCTGATCAGCTGACGGTGCATGCGGCGCGCCTAACTAGCGGCTGATGCTCATTTTACGCATTTGGAGAGGTGGGCTGGATGCTGGAAGATGGTCCACTTAACGCACGGGTGTAGACTAACTATTAATGACAAATGAATGAAAATTAAATTGTGAGTTTTTACTTCATATTTTATAAATAAAAAGGACGGGGGAACACATTTATGACGTCTTTTTAAACGAAATTTTCTAGCGCGACCTGCCTGCTTCACTTAAGTCACTGCTTGTTAAGGTCCGTCCAAAATTACCGTGGCCCACCCAAAAATGAAAACCTGCCGCTGGGCCTGTTATGAACCTCTGCAAATTGTTGTTCTTCACTTTATCAAACTCAGACTTTGTACAGCTAATATCAAGATGTAAAATTATGAATTCAGTCGAGCTCTTACGTCCCTCCCTCTCCTGCTCTCCTGGAAACCCGACATCGGCTGTCAGAAGTGCTGGTGAAGAAGGAGATGAAGCAAACAGAGTGAGTGCGACGTAAAGAAACCAGACTGGTGTGGAGGTGAGCAAAACAGCTGGAAAAGTGTGGGTGTTGAATCCCCCACGGGTGCGACGCCCATGCCAGCGACCGGTACCTGCTGCTGTCACCTGTTGGGAGCAGCTCTCTGCTGTCTGAGGGTAGACCCCGCCCACAACGATGCGGCTCCCAGTGTTTTCTTTACTGTGGGAAACGGGTAATAATGGCTCTTTGATGGGAACAGGTTGCCGACCCCTGGTATAAGATCTGAGCTGGTAAAACAAAAATCCTCATCAGCAGGCTTTTTTGAAAGTGGGGGGGACACAGCTGCCAATCACAAATTTTGCCGGGGACATGTCCCCGGCGTCCCCGGTTAAAATGACGCCTATGAGCCACACAGGCACCTGTTGACACCACGGGGGCGGGACTGTCTTCTACACCTGTTGAGTCTCACTGTGATGATGTAGAATGTAAGATTTATTTTACCGTTTTTTGGAGTATGATTGCAGCCTTTTTATGAACTTCCATTCAAGTTGTAAGTATGCATACAATGTGAATTTAATATTTTCATATCAGAAGAACGTTAGGTGTGGGTGTAGCAAAATTTCAACATTGTCCGACACATCGGGCGTGCGGCACCGCCGTGGCCGTGGCGGGGACTCCCCCGCTGACCGGCAGCAGCGGGGGAGTCCCCGCTGCTGCCGGTCCCGCGTCGGTGTTTCCTTGTTTAATAATTGAAATCCTCAGAGTGCCTCAGATCACCGGTTCTTCCTCGTGTTCTACAATTTATTTGATGCTGAAGAGCACCTGAGAGTGAGACATAAGTTTTTTCAAATATTCCCCATGGATGCGCTCACTTCCACCTGTTTTTGATAATTTTATTCATGTTTTCATAGAACAGATTACAAAAAGATCAATAAAATAAAAAGTCCAGTAACATTAAAAATAATGAAAAGCATCACTGCACATGGCTGAGGAATACTGAATGTGAAAGTGGCACTGTTCTTAATTCATGCATCAGAGAGTTAAGTTGCTTTGTGTGTGTGTGTGTGTGTGTGTGTGTGTGTGTGTGTGTGTGTGTGTGTGTGTGTGTGTGTGTGTGTGTGTGTGTGTGTGTGTGTGTGTGTGTGTGTGTGTTTATTTTCTCACAGAAGAAGAACCCAACACCAGCAGCCTCAGTGCTCCAATCCAACAGCCTGAAGAGACACCATCATCAGCTTCAACAGATGTCTGTGAACATGTATGAGCTGCTGGCCCCATGGATCCTGCTGACTGGCCACAGCAGTTGAACAAAATGGAATGTAGAACTTTCTTTATGATGACACTGATATTTGAGTTTTGCTTTTGATTGCACAGTTTAATGCTGCTGTTGATTTTGCATCCCCCCCAATGACATTTGCACAACATTTTGAGTTGTTGGTTATTGTAATATTCTCAGGTTACTTATCTTTCAAGCTTACATTTATTCTTCAGGCTGTTGACTTTAAAGAGTTGCTGTGTGAATATTTAAAATAAAAAATTAGTAACGAAGGAATAACTGGAGTTGCTTTTTTCAATGTGTGGTGGGTGGGTGGACTTGGGTTTGGGTGAGAGGCGTGCGCGGGGGGGTGGGGGGGCGCAAATGGGCAGTCTCGCCTTGGGCACCAAATTACCTAGAGCCGGCCCTGAAGAGCGTGAAGACAGTCAGTTACCCAATGAAGATTTTCCTTCAGCATGATTACAGATATTTACGAGGTTTACTCATTTCATGCTCGTATTCGTCAAAAATGCTTTATCCATACCGGATACTCGTCTGAAACTAGTACCCGGCTCATCACTAATTTCAACCCATTTTTATGTTAAATGCACTGGGTTTTAACATGGTTTTACCCATCGACATATACCCTATTAATCATTTTACCGTATATTACATCTAAATTTCAGGGTTAAACAGTACATGTTAAAATGGTAGTTTTCTGATAAGCTCACCTAGTGCAAAAGCAGCAGTGACCTTAAATACATAAATATAATTTTACTTACCGGAAATAATGAAGTGGAAACTCCTTGGACGCTCTATTAGTGCAATTAATACCACAGCAAGTTATTTTGTCCAACAATTACACAAATAATATCCAAAAAGAATGCACAAACGCTACAACTACTGGTCTAATTTCAGAGACTAAAAATCACGGAACAGTTTTCAGGTGAGACCGAGGCTCTACTGAGGCCTTTCCACGGAGCTAGCTCTGTGGTCACGTGGGCCTGAGGCGGCGGTCACGTGGGTCTGATGCTCATTATTTATACAGAATTTTAGGCTTTTAATACATTTAAAACAGAAGAGTGAGACAAAAATTCACCCCCCTCAGAGTTGTCATGAGTGTAAACTAGATCATTTAAACCAAAAACATGTTTTGGTACCAGGCTGTAAACATGTTTATTTCTGCTGTGAAATTGGTATTTTTAACATGGGAGTCAATGAGGATTTGCTTGCTTCTGACACCAGCCCCCAGCGGATGAGGGTGGAACTGCAATTTATTTCACTTCCGGGTTTGCTTCAATTTTTGAACGCATTGTGGGGGCTTGGGAGAAACAAAAAACACAACCTGCACCAAACCTAGGTACATCTGAGAAGGTAGTAGAAGGTAGAAGTTTACAACACTGTTGCATTAAGGATTGGCTACATATATATGAACTGATCAATAAGATGTGATAATTCTATATAAATATGAAATATCAATCTGATTGGCCTTTGAATGTTTAATCAGAAGACTTTAGTTTCTTGACTTATTTGGGGAACATACAGAAACAAACACAATTATTGTGTTGAAAGTCTTTTTATCTCTTAAAAATGTTTAAAAATATGTTTTTGTCTAACATGTCTGGCTGCCAGTCAAATTCAATTTAGTATCCCGGTTCTAGTTTTAGGGCCTTACATGGACAAGCTCCATCATACATTGGTGATCTTCTCTCTTCTCAGTCCCTACACCCCCAGCAGGTCCCTTAGGTCCATTGACCAAAGCCTGGTTGACCAGGCTCGGGAACTCTCTCCCCCTGAGCCTGAGATCGTTGGACTCAGTGGTCTCCTTTAAAAAGCAGCTGAAATCTCACCAGTTCAGGCTGGCTTTGATGTTACCATCACCCTCCTTATTCTGCCCAGGATCCACCGATTTCTCTTTCCTCTTCGTTTTCGCATTCCCTTTCCTTACATTTTTAATCACAATTTTTAGAATTTTTTCAAAATCTTTTCTATATTTAAAATGTTTTGTTTTTGTGAAGCGCCTCTGATTTTTATCTTGAGAGGAGCTATATAAAAATTGTTTCCTTTTCTTTCTAATTAATATAGGCCACTTTAGTGGATGTTATTGTTCCTTTATGCCCAGATCATATCTGTAGAACTCATAACTTCACAGGAAATTTTTGGCCAAGCTGTGTGATCGGTATCAGTAATCAACATTCTTTGAATTCGTGATTGGAAGCATAAAACTTGATCGGAGCATCCCTAGATATGGCTTTTCACATGTATGTACATTTTATTTATATAGCACTCATCACAGACAGAAAATCACATGGTGTTTCACATAGATCAAAACAAATCATTAAGTCATAAAATCATAGTGATCTTAAAACAGAAATAAAAATCTAAGTCACATATTTATAAAATACCATTAAACAAAGGAATGATGATTACAAATTTGAGTTAAAAATAAGAAAATACAATTTTTAGAAATAGCAGCTTTAAATGAAAGGGTCTTCTGCTGTTTTTTAAAAAGTGTCCAGACTGTCAAGACTACGTAAGGCTAAAAGGAGGACCACTCCAATGTCAGGGTGCAACAGTCTGGAAGGAGCCATCACCTGGACTTCTATAATTGGTCTTTGGAACTTCTAGAAGGTTCTAGTTTGTGGACCTGAGAGCTCAGGTTGGAGTATGAGGCTTTAGCAATTCAATGATATAATGTGAGTTAGGGCTGCACAATATATCGAAAAATTATCGTCATCGCGATAACAGGACGTGCGATAGGCCCATCGCAAAGCACGTCAAAAACGGCGATAAATGTTTGGTTCAAACATTTCCATCCGTGCCATACATCAACTTTTTGTAAACCAGCTCTGTTTTTTACGCGGAAGTATTATTTGACCAATCAAATGTAGTCCTTCTGATATGCGGCCAATCAGATGGGTCCGTTAACGTAATACGCCCGCCCCCTACGTAGACCCTTTTGGAAAGCAACACCCGAACATTAGCGGCGCCGTTCCCTTGTTCATCATGCTGGCTCAGAGCAACGAACGCACTTTGTGCTGAGGTTTCTGGAATCAGCGCTGCTTTCAAACGTGAACGCGAGTCCGCTCCGTGTCGTTAATCATTTTTACCGGGCTGACTCAGACACGTACCGGTGAACAAACCCACCTCCATGTTGCTAGTGTTCCACCGGGTGGTGGCTCTGGTTAGCTTCCAGCTAAAAGGCTACAGCACTCTCCTCCCAGTCCCACCCTGCTAAAAAGGGCCTGGAAAAGTTCCCCCACACATCAAAGTGATTTTTCATTTATGAGCTTTTATAACCTTGTTAATCAGGATAGTTGATTTGCTGCTGCACATAAACTGTCAGTCAGAAGCTCTGCTAGCCGGTTATCTTAGAGGAGCTAGTTCAATTTGTTAGCTTGTTATCCGAATCATAGTTGCAGTTTCATCATCTGAGCTGCTTTTTAAGATCTAGGTAAACTTGTTCAATTTGGGGTTAAAAACAAACGTTTTCACATATTTTCCATGCAGTTTTTTTTGCCAGTTCCTCTTCTGAAAGGTAGACAATTGTTTTTCTCTTTCCCTCAGAAAATCTTAATATTCTCCTAGTTTGGCCCAGCACAGATCACTTCCCAATTACAGCAACAGCCTTATATCATAACCACATAAGTGGAGAAAATGTTCAGTAGCAATGAGAGAATTTGCTGTTGCATTTAAGTGATGTTAACTATTATTTAACATTTAAAGTTATTTTCTGATTTTTTTTTTTTATTTACTCAAAAACCCTGGTAAGGGATGTTTTTCTGTATTTGGAGCATCAGAAAAAGTTTTATGGTGGTGGTGATGTTTTAAAGTCACTGAGAAACTGCATGCATGCAGTTTGTTGTTTTGCTGCTAATACAGTAGCAGGTGCAGCTGCATATTTTTGCACAAAAAATGTTATGTTGTAATGGAATTCATGCATTAGTTTTTGTTTGCTTTAAACCCAGAGCAGACGTCACACGCCAGACGACATCAACACTGCATACTTTAGTATTTGTTCATTTATCGTGAGTAATATCGATATCACAATATTAAGCACTGTTATCGAATATCGCAGGTTTTCCTAATATCGTGCAGCCCTAATGTGAGTTCTCATGTGTGTAGTCAAGGAACTACTGTGAATAAAACATTTACCACAAGTTTTACATGAATATGGCTTCTCACCTGTGTGAGTTCTCATGTGTGTATTCAAGGGACTACTGTCACTAAAACATTTACCACAAGTTTTACATGAATATGGCTTCTCACCTGTGTGAGTTCTCATGTGATAAATCAAAGCAGCACTCTGCGAGAAACATTTACCACAACTTTTACAATGAAATGGCTTCTCACCTGTGTGAGTTCTCATGTGTGTAGTCAAGGAACTACTGACACTAAAACATTTACCACAAGTTTTACATGAATATGGCTTCTCACCTGTGTGAATTCTCATGTGATAAATCAAAGCAGCACTCTGCGAGAAACATTTACCACAACTTTTACAATGAAATGGCTTCTCACCTGTGTGAGTTCTCATGTGTGTAGTCAAGGAACTACTGACACTAAAACATTTACCACAAGTTTTACATGAATATGGCTTCTCACCTGTGTGAATTCTCATGTGATAAATCAAAGCAGCACTCTGCGAGAAACATTTACCACAACTTTTACAATGAAATGGCTTCTCACCTGTGTGAGTTCTCATGTGTGTATTCAAGGGACTACTGTCACTAAAACATTTACTACAAATTTTACATGGATATGGCTTCTCACCTGTGTGAATTCTCATGTGTTTAGTCAAGGAACTACTGTCAATAAAACATTTACCACAAGTTTTACATGAATATGGCTTCTCACCTGTGTGAGTTCTCATGTGTCTAGTCAAGGAACTACTGTCACTAAAATATTTACCACAAGTTTTACATGGATATGGCTTCTCACCTGTGTGAATTCTCATGTGTCTAGTCAAGGAACTACTGTCACTAAAACATTTACCACACATTTTACATGGATATGGCTTCTCACCTGTGTGAGCCCTCTTGTGCCTTTTTTGTTTTTTATCATCTACACTGTCTCTGTGATCTTTGGATTGGCATATTTTATTACGTGTCAGTTCTTCTTTGCTGTTTGATTCTGAGTTTTCTTTCCTGCATCCACCCTGATCTTGGTTCTCAGCTTCTGTAGTACTCTGACACAAGGGTTGGTTCTTGTTTGGTTCTGGTTCATGACAGTCTGTTTCTTCAGAAGGAGAAGGCTCCATGAAGGTAACAACTTCCTGCTTCAGAAGAAACTGCCCTTCATGCTGATGGATAAGGAGTTCTTGTTGTTCCTCTTTCATCAGTGGAGGTTCTGGTTCCTTCTGGTCCAAACTGGAGGTCCATTTCTGTTTAGAGAGCTGCTGGTCAGTCAGAGCCATCTTGTTTTCCCAGACATGATGCTGTGGAAGTTCTGGACAGGATAAAAGACAAAACAAAATGTAGATTAATGTGAATAAAAAAAAATCTCTCGTGTTTGGACAAAGCTTCTCATTCAACGTGTTTTCTTTATTTTCATGACCATTTATATCAGGCGATTCTAAATGAAGGCATTCAAATTATGAATGAATACATGTGGAGTTATGTACTTAACCAAAACAGTGAAATAACTGAAAATATGTTTTATATTCTATTTTCTTCAAAATAGTCACCCTTTGCTCTGATTACTGCTTTGCACACTCTTGGCATTCTCTTGATGATCTTCAAGAGGGAGTCACCTGAAAAATGTCTTAAAGGAGTTCCCAGAGGTGTTTAGCACTTGTTGGCCCCTTTGTAAGTGGTCATGAAAATAAAGAAAACATATTGAATGAGAAGGTATGTATATATATATATATATATATATATATATATATATATATATATATATATATATATATATATTAGGGCCGGGACTTTAACGCGTTAATTACGATTAATTAATTAGAACAAAATAACGCGTAAAAAAAATTAACGCATTTAATCGCAGCTTGCATTTCAAGCACGGCGGAACCTTTGTCATTGCACGATTTCCTCATAGACTGAATATCACTGACGCACACAACAATGCACAGTGCTAATGACTACTAAAACGGAATAAAAACAGAAATAAGTTGCCTTGCTTGGACTGATGCAGGATTTAGGAAACACGTCCGCCTCTTTTCTTAACTTGGATAAAAAAACTTCCAGACAACAGCTTTAGTTGCTATGAACATTTTATATTTATATTATTAAAATTTAGAATCTAAGGTTGTATTGATGTATACCAAGTTGAAATACTCCAAAAAAATGGCACCAAAGCATGTAAAAATGTAAACATAAGTTCTGGCGAACTCTGACAGGTCTTAAGGATTAATGAAATACATTAAATTCTATTATCATAGTTTAACTGTGAATATATTTATATATGTACTTTTGATTAAGATTAGTAATATTAAACGATCAATGATAAATGACCCACACTTGTACAGCGCTTCTTAGTGTAAGGACTCCAAAGCGCTTTACACTACAGTGTATCATTCATTCATTCACACATACATTCACACACTGATGGTGATGAGCTACGATGTAGCCATGTAGCTGCCCTGGGGCGCACTGACAGAGGCGAGGCGCCCGAGCACAGGTGCCACCGGTCCCTCCGACCGCCACCAGCAGGCAAAGTGGGTTAAGTGTCTTGCCCAAGAACACAACCGCAGAATTCTCTGTCTGGAGCCAGGATCGAACCTGCAACCTTCCGATTACTGGACAACCCGCTCAACCTGTTGAGAGCTACTGCTGCCCGCTCAACCTGTTGAGCTACTGCTGCTTAGTACCACTGGTGGGAAGTCAGGGCCAGCAAAGCCTTCTCTGCTGGCCTAAACTTACTCAAAAAAGTAAATGTATTTTTTCCTTTGGTAAATATTTTTAAATCAAAAATTTTTCACTGGCCTATTTTCTTTATATCCTATTATACCCACTTGGTTGCACTGCTCCCAGTGTAAAAATACCAAGGTTGGGTGTTATCCAATCAGATTTCAGCTAGCTTGCGTTTTCAGGTAGATTAAGTCTGCCAAAACCCCTGCTTTCCACAGGAGCCGTCAGCAGCACGTCTTGCTCGCGTAAACTGCTGCTTGGCCCTTCCCACGAGACGCGAAGCAGCAGGGGAGCAGCTGTCACCGACAGAGCACGAAGTCACGCGAGTGACTTCGTCAGTAAACACAACAACAAGCAGGAGAAAACTACAACATGGCTCCAAAAGGTTTGTGTTTTATGTTCTGTCCGTTTTATAATCGCCAATACGGACCTGAAAAACAAAGGAGACTGCTAGCTAGGTGGTAACTTCTCACGGGGCCGCACAGTTAGTAACTTTTTTAAAAGTAAAGCAACCGGAAGGCAGTACGTTTCTTTATTCTGACAATTTCGGGAGCTTCGCTCCGTTTCCGCGTCCGATTTCCTGTCTTTCCTTCCCCAAAGATGTCGAACTTGACCCGTTTCAGAGGCGTCGCGCGTAGAAAATAGAACCGGCGCGTAAAGGCCGCGACATGCTGCTCCTGAGACGCGGCCGACTCGCGCTGCTGACGTTTCCAGTGGAAAAGGTTCTGTTGACCACAGCGGTTCCTATCAGCAGCTATGACGTGCTGCTGCAGTAACGTGCTGCTGACGGCTCCTGTGGAAAGTAGGGGTATCAACCGAGCAGTCCGCTCGGAGTGTAAGTGAACAGAGACAATCCAGTTGCAATAGCCAATCAGCTCACGAGTCGGAGTGGCCCACGCAAAAGCTGACATGAACGCATCCTGTGATTGGATGAGCAGTAGTTTGAACTTTTCTAGCGCCATTAAGCAAAATATCAAAACTAAACACAGAGATTTGTATATATATATATATATATATATATATATATATATATATATATATATATATATATATATATATAATTATTATTATCTATAGACTGCTATCGTTTATTTTTTGAACACATGATGGCTGAAAGAGGAGAAAGGACAGACTTGGTTGCAGATTTACTTGCCACACCATTTTCAAGATGAACCTTTCAAGAAAAAAATGGATCTTGTGAGAACAGGTCGTCCCGACCCCAATGCTAGCTGGCTTGTCACAGCAGGGGAAAGGATTTGTTCGACATTTTCAGGCAATCAACTATGAATGGTCATGTTTCTGGGTAAACAGGAACTTTAATTTAGGAGACACGATGAAAACCCCCAGTCATTAAATAGAGGTAATTATGTGGAGCTTTTATCTTTTCTTGCTGAGCATGATGCCGACTTGCATTACCACCTGACCACAAACAGGGTCTTTACTGGGACATCAAGCAGAATACAAAACGACCTCATTTATGCTATTGCTGAAGTGATGGAAGATAAGAAGAAAATGGAGATCAGAAGAGCCCCTATTGTTACCATCATGGTTGATGAAACCAATGACGCTCGCACTCGTCCTGCGCTATGAGACAGCCACAAGTATCCAGGAGCATTTTTTCAAATTTGTGGATGTAACTAGTGGCAGGCGAGCTAATGACCTTGCCGCACTTATTTTCCGTATTCTTGAGGAATATGAACGCTGTTTGGACAAAGGTGTTACAGTGTTACGATGGCGCAGCGGTGATGGCATCTGGACTAAATGGGTGCAAGCTAAAGTTAAGGAAAAGGCACCTATGGCCTTATTCATTCACTGTTATGCACATCATCTTAATTTAGTCCCCAAAGTGCACACACCTGTTCAACTTCTCCTTAATGCAATTACCTAATCAATCAATCACATGGCAGTTGCTTCAATGCATTTAGGGGTGTGGTCCTGGTCAAGACAATCTCCTGAACTCCAAACCAAATGTCAGAATGGGAAAGAAAGGTGATTTAAGCTATTTTGAGCATGGCATGGTTGTTGGTGCCAGACGGGCCGGTCTGAGTATTTCACAATCTGCTTAGTTACTAGGATGTCCACGCACAACAATTTCTAGGGTTTACAAAGAATGGTGCGAAAAGGGAAAACATCCAGTATGCGGCAGTACTGTGGGCGAAAATGTCTTGTTGATGCTAGAGGTCAGGGGAGAATGGGCTGACTGATTCAAATTGATAGAAGAACAAATTTGAAATAACCACTAGTAACAACCGAGGAATGCAGCAAAGCATTTGTGAAGTCGCAACATGCACAACCGTGAGGCGGGTGGGCTACAACAGAGGAAGACCCCACTGGGTACCACTCTTCTCCACTACAAATAGGAAAAAGACGCTACAATTTGCAGGAGCTCACCAAAATTGGACAGTTGAAGACAGGAAAAATGTTGCTTGGTCTGATGAGTTTCGATTTTTGTTGAGACATTCAAATGGTAGAGTCAGAATTTGGCATAAACAGAATGAGAACATGGATTCATCGTGCCTTTTTACCACTGTGCAGGTTGGTGGTGATGGTGTAATGGTGTGGGGGATCTTAATGCCAACTGGGCATCGTTTAAATGCCACGAGCTACCTGAGCCTCTTTTCTGACCATGTCCATCCCTTCATGACCACCATGTACCCATCCTCTGATGGCTACTTCCAGCAGGATAATGCACCATGTCATAAAGCTCCATTCATTTCAAATTGGTTTCTTGAACATGACAATGAGTTGATGGTACTACGACGGCCCCCACAGTCACCAGATCTCAACCCGATAGAGCATCTTTGGGATGTGGTGGAACGGGAGCTTCTTGCCCTGGATGTGTATCCCACAAATCTACATCAACTGCAAGATGCTATCCTATCAATATGGGCCAACATTTCTAAAGAATGCTTTCAGCACCTTGTTGAATAAATGTCACCTAGTATTAGGCAGTGCTGAAGGTGAAAGGGGGTCAAACACTGTATTAATATGGTGTTCCTAATAATCCTTTAGGTTGGTGTATATATTCTGTACAGGTACAGAATATTTGTGGCGCGCCGCCACGGCAAAATAAAAGCTACCACACCTTCAGAGGGATTAAAAAAAATGTTTAAACAACGTACCTTAAGAATTAATTTTTTGGATATACATTAAAACTATGTAAATACGAGACACATATAGTCTATTTTTGTATGCATGTATACTAAACCATAATGACAGTTTAAAATGAAAGGCTGCATACACATCCTGCATACACATCCTTCATGAAAATACTGTTGAAGTCATATATTGATAACTGCAAATTAACCAAATCTACAGGTAAAAGGGAAAATCAACTTTGGATGACTAAAGCTTGGTTTATGCTTGACGCATTTACTTTCCGCTTGGTGATGCGGCTCGCGGATGGATCACGCTTCACAACTTGCAGCGTTTATGGTTCATGCGGCTTGTCTGCGGTGAGCCAATATTCTCCCAAACTGAACGGGGCAGCATGGAAATCTACGGCATGCATACAACACTACACCATAGAAGAAGTAAAAATTACTGTTGTTTACAACATGGCATTCCAGCATTTTTTAACAGCGT